AAGGTCGTCCGCCACATCCCCCGGTAGCATCGAGGTCTGCATAGTACAATAGGGCAACGTGCTCAGGACGGACTGAGTAAGGGTTACTCGACCAACCAAAGACAAGGACTTCATTTGCCACCCCGCAAGTCTGGACTCCGTCCGGTCCAGGATATGAGAGTACGTATCCTTTTTGGTGCGTCCGTGTATAATCGGAACTCCTAGATACTTCCCTAAGTTGTCGGTGGAGGTAAAGTTAAGAAGCGAGGCCAGTCGACTCTGCTTTTGGAGGGCCACGTTAGCAGAAAATAGAACTTGGGTTTTCTCGGCAATCACTTTAAGTCCCGACCTAGAGCAGAAGTTATCAAGAACATGTGTAAGGACTGATACTTGGTCCTCCGAGGCATCTAGAAATAGAAGAAGATCATCGGCGAACATCAAGAAAATGAAACAAACTGCTCCTCGCCCCACCGAGATCGACCGCCAATCGTGGTTATCAACCGACTCATTAATCAGTTGAGCCAATCTTTCCATGCAGAGGACAAAGAGGTAGGGAGACATTGGGTCCCCTTGTCGAACACCTCTCGTGGGTCGAAACACATCTCCCATCGTGCCATTCCACAGCACATTCATCGAAGTCGAGCGCGCACATGCCATAACCGCTGAGACAAGATTGTCAGGATACCCAGCAAGTTGTAAGGTTTCCTGGATGAAGTCTCAGCGAAGGAAATCATACGCCTTTTCAAGATCCACCTTGATCACCATGTATCCTTTCGCTTGGGATGTTGGAGATGATTTTTGGTCGAGATGATTCACTTTACTGAATTTTGGAAAGATGAGTTTTTTTTTTTTAAGGGTCGTGCACGCAGGGAAGATGAGAGAAGATGTGAAGGAAAGAGGGAGAAGATGTGCAGTGAATGAAGCGTGCAGTATCTGACTCTTTTTCTTTTTTTTTTGGTTGTTTTTTTTTTATTATTGGTAGGTAAACATTACTAAGAGTATAATTGTACTTTTAACCCCTAAAATGGCTATATTTCATTATTTTACAAAGCATGGCTATATTTCATTTTTCCATTCAAAAAAGTGTTATAAATCCGCGGGACTGAATATTATATGCTTTCCCGTTAGCATAAAAAACATGCGAGGATATAATGGGAAATTTTCTCGCGTCGTACAAGTCAATCCAATATGCAACATGGAGCGCAACATAAATGACCAACACGAACCCGACCAGCATGTTGACGATGGCGAACCCAGGGGTCGCGAGCAGGCTGCCAAGAAAGCCCGCAACAGTTGACGAATCAAGCACGAACAAGCCCAGCCCGAGCTCGTGGAGCCTGGAACCTATCTGCTGGGCCGTGACAGAGTCTTTCCACACCCAACAGACAAAGGAGAGGGCCGTGATAGAAGGGAAGAGATAGTTTGGGATTATGTCGTAAGGGAAGCTTGAGGCAAGGACCATTAGGAGAAATTGGAGTCTTGTGAGTCCTCCCTTTGGTTGGATTTTGACCTCATGCAGAGCCCGGAAGAGGGAGACCTGGACTAGGTTCGCGGGCCACCACATGTAAAGCGAGTCGACTAGATACTTCCAGGAGATTCCATCCCAACCATAGCCTAACATCTACATGCACCAGCAAAAGTTGTTGTACGAGTCTCTAAAGGACAAAAATGTGGTTATTATGAAAAGCTCCCCTTGAATTTAAAATCTTCAAATTTTAGCCCAGGTTACTCTTTTGTCCATACTCCAGACTTCAGGGTAGTTTTTGTAGTTATCCCAAATAATAAAAAATTTAAAAAAAAAAATAAAAAAAAAAGAACAATGCAGTGTAACTGAAAACGGATAACTACAAAACCACCCCAAAATTTTGCCTAATTACAAAAATAGCTAGCACCATCCCTCATCATGATGCAACTTCCTAAAACTCGACGTGCAGTTTTTGCAAACAACAAGAAGCAAGCTACAGACTCACCCTGAGAGACTGGACAAGCTGCTCACCACCCCTACCGCCTTACACCACCTCCGATGGCGCATGTCCAACATCCACGTCCCAGAGTTGTTGTTTGGCTGAAACTCGAGTTGCCTTGGGTTAAGCTGAACACTGATGGAGCGTTTGATCGACTTACTGGAGTTGCAGGAGGTGGGGGCCTGATTAGGGACCATAGCGGCACCCTCATTACCGCTTTTCACACCCCTCTTCGGGCCTCCTCGAACTATGACGCGGAGGTTCAGGCGCTTCAGATCGGTCTCCAAATTGCAGCTTCGATCTCCTCTCACATTTGGATAGAGTTGGACGCTGCCGCTGTCATCACTCTCTTGTCATCTGGTCATCAGGGCACGTGGCAGATTCAGCATCCCCTCATGCGTATCAAAGCCACTCTTCGGTCGATTCGCTCTCGGATCTCACACATATTCCGCGAGGGATACTGGCCTGCTGACCTTTTCGCTAGCATCGGGTCCTCCTCCCCCCAGAGACGCTTTCCCTATCCTGACGATATCCCTCTCCGCCTCCGCACCCTCATACGGATGGACCAGATGGGATACCCTTCATTCAGATTTGCGTAGCTGCTCCTACCTTTTTGCGCATCTGCCACACTATGATGCAGATGAGACTCTCCCTGGACCAGGATCTATTATTTTTTGTTTTCTCGCTGTAGTTGCCAACTTTTCGTTGTATTTTCTAGCTTTTGTTTTTGGGTTTTCATTTGACTTGATATATGTCAGAGATAGGACTTGTGGCCATGTGACCTTTCAGCTTATTTAGGGCCTCTTTATATACATGTTGGGGGTTCGGCCTTAACCCTCACCCTCCTGAGGTGTTTTCTTAAAAAAAACAAAAAAACAAAAAAACAAGCTATATGTAGTTTTTGAAATGCACCATGTTTTTTAAGCTTCGTTAAGCTCAACTCGACGTGCCGTTTTTGCAATTTAGTCCTAAAGTATTAGCATCAAACCTGCGTAGAATGCGTTAGCAACAGAGCAGCTACCGGATTAAGTTGACGGTGATAAAAGGCTTTCACAATAGTAATGATACTCACTGCATAAACAGAAGTTGTGCCAGCATCTGCAAAAATGGTGATAAGGCAATGCTCCTTCAAGTTGAAGGGACCCGGGTTTAACGAGGATGACCATTTTGTCCCCGGGATTCGTACTGCCATTCTCGGCAAGGAAGCCGCCATCAGCTTCCCGAGGGGGAGGACCAGAATTTGGGCTGAGACATATGTTACAGATAGTGCATTTTGTCGGTAGCCGAAACCTGGTTCGAGAATGAGAGGGCCGCGCATGAGATGATCCCTAATACCCATATGTTCGAAAAGTCAAACACGGAAGAGTAGGATCGTCCGTTGTGGGTATTGTCAGACGGACTTCCTCGATCGGACAATCGTTCTCTTTATCTGCAATTCGTTTTTTTTAATATCATAATAATCTTTGCATGCACATGTAATAACTAACAAGCAAGACTAAAAATTATCTTGCAATTTGTGTACAATTAATGTATATAAGAATTTGAAATTCAATTATATACATTAGGAAGGTGCAAATTTGTTAGCTTTCTAAACAGCTACCCTTTTTTTTTTATCTATTTGTCATATTTCAAGAAATCATATGAATTTGAGAATCAAAACAGTGAAAAAAAAAAAAAAAAACTGACCCATCTTTTCAAGTGTGTCATTTTCTGAGATGGGTTCTTGGGATCATTCATCACAGTAATAGTGTTGCTTTCTGTAGGCTCCATCAACATACAGGTGCTAAAACATTAAAAAAATAAAAATAAAATATATAGTAAAAATAGAGCAAATTTTAAAGGGAGAAGAAGGCCAACAAATGTAATACAGGGCAACAAACAAAATCAGGCAAATTCAAGAAAGAAGCAAGTTTAGTTTGAGTCTAGTTTTTTCATTTCATTTGAATCCAAGCCATTACCAACCCCAAACTGTTCCTATCCTAATTAATGCATTTTGTTTGTTAAGGAAAATTAAAGTTTGCCTAACTTTCTTGTTTGGTGTCATTACATTTTTCCTTTGCTCATAAATGGAATACTGGGAGATTCTACGGTCCCGTTACGGGAACATTCCATCGGTGTTCGTAACCGTTAGATCAACTATCCACGACGGTTACATGATGATCTAACGGTTACAAATCCCGACTGAATAGTTCCGTAACGGGACTGTAACATTTTCCTGGAATATTATATATATCATTTTTGGAACTCTAAATGAGGTAAATTATATATAACACCTCTGAGTTGCCCATAATCAGGTATTACATTTTCAGTTTCACTTGATACAAAGCATATGATTAAAAAAAAAAAAAAAAATGTGTCGTGGGTATTTTGAGATCCAACGAATAGTCTCAACCATGTAGCATTATATGGTACTATGATAGAAGTTGTGCAAAGGACAGAAAAATTTGTTCACATTTTGAAAACAAACAATCCAAAGATAAAAGTAGAAATGCATTGAAGAAACCATTAAAGGAGACCAAAGTTCTTTCATTCTTTTAAAAAAGTTTCTGGACACCATACTGTGTTATCAGAACATGCATTTATATGCAACAGGACATGCCCTATTTAACATCTAACGGCTATATAAGAATTAGAAGTAAACAATCCACGGCTCCCTTGCTTGCACGTGGCAGCAACTGCATGAGATGGCTTGGGACCACAGCCAGGCTGCATGGCCAGTAGCCTTTTTATGGTGTTAGATTTATCCACGTGGCATTGACTGGTCTGAAGATGATCAATAAGTTCAACACATTTTATATCTTTTGGTTGAGACGAATGCAGGGGCGTAGCCAGGATTCATTGTTAGCCTGGGCTATAATTATTTTAGTAAAATACGACCATATTGTAAATAGACAATGTTCAAGGTTTGCAAATGAAACCGTCAAATAGGCGGTTTGAACTGTCGAACAATATATAGTTCAGTTAACCGTTGCCTATAGTTCCTATTTTGATTTGACAACTCGGTTACGGATTGCAAAATGTCAGAAACGCAACAGAAGGTTTAGTTATAAAATAGGAAAAAAAAAATTGGGAGAGCAACCATAAAAAATCAAAGGTTATTGATTTTTCAAAATTCATAAAAATAATGGTGGAAAACTTTCTAAACCGTTGTTTTTTTTTTTTTTTGGAAAACAAATGCTCTGTTCAAAAATTTGGTAGTTTCTAAAGATTTTTTAAAATTTCAACATTAGAATAATAATTGAAAACTGACATTTTGAATCGAAAAGCAGTTTAAACCGGAACGTAACAGTAACCGTCTATTGAACAACCAACTACGAAGAGTCAATAGCTAGTTATTGTTACTGTTTCGAATTTTTAAAGCAACTGTAATCGATTACAAATCGATTGTTTTATAACTGAGAACGTATCTAATTAATAAATATGCATATTTACGTTATGAAATGCCCTGCATTTTGATAATAAACATTTAGATTTCATCAATTTGAATCTAACAAATAGCATTAGAACTTAAATGGTTGCAAGAAAAAAATTAAAAGTTAAATACAAAAAAGAAGAAAAAAAAATTGTAATCTACTGGTACAAAAAACATAAATCTTCCAACACATAAATAATAAAATAAACATAATTTTACTTACATATCATAACTAAAAAAAAAATCCTGAAGACCGCTATCACTTTTAATTATTCTTTTCTAAGTAACCTTACAACTTAATATATATAATAACCTAGATAATTTTTTAAAAAATACCCTTTCACATCGAATCATTTAT